TTTAATATTAACTCTACGATATGGAGTTTCTGTATTGCACATGAGTACCGCATTTATTTAATAAAATTAGAATTAACTCCCTTTCTGGTCAATCGGTGCTCGATCGATGCATTTATGTTGCATCCTTGATACGACTATAATGAGGGGCTCCCTCTATAAAAACTCTGCTCCAGAAGCAATCAAGTTTGAAAACAAAATTTAAAAATATTTTATAAATAAGATTTTCAGATTCAATTAAGCAGGTATGGTTTCTTTTGTACTCTTTTCGTTTTACCTTATTGAATATAAAATATAATATAAATATATATATATATAAGAACACAAAAACTCTCCGATCACACTCTTAATCTCATGGCTGTTAGACGGGAGATGAGGCTGCAATCGTCAACAGATTTGACAGCATACAGGCAACTGAACAGACAGATCTCCAAATGCATGCGGCGAGACTTACGCAACTTTAATACTGCTCGTATTAAAGAAGCGATCGAGCGGAACCAGGTCTCCAAAGTCTTTGCCAGAGATCTGTCTGCCAGAAAAAGCCAACTGTCAAAGCTGAAGACTGAGTGTGGCAGCATCGTTTCCGAGACACCAGAGATTTTGAGTGAGATTGAGAGGTTCTATGGGCAGCTGTACACATCATCGTTGGAGCCACACGCAAGTGTGAGTAACGATCCAAGAGCAAGTCTTACCCGACACTATTCCGATGATATCCCGGACGTCAGTCTGAGCGAGATTAGAATGGCTCTCCAGCACCTTAAAAACGGCAGGGCCCCAGGCGAGGATGGAATTACACCGGAGCTTCTGAAAGCGGGTGGAACACCGGTACTTAAAGTCCTTCAGAAGCTCTTCATTTCCGTCCTCCATGGTGGCAATACTCCGGAGGCGTGGAGCAGAATTGCGGTGATCTTGTGCTTTAAGAAAGGCGACAACGCTCTCTTGAAGAACTACCTATATTACCTGGGACAAATAGTCCGACTAGGTAAGTCCAACTTCGACCGAGAGGTCAATTGACGGATTCAACTCGGCTGGGCAGCGTTCGGGAAATTACGACACAGCTTCTCGTCAGGTATACCTCAATCTCTGAAAACTAAAGTGTACAACCAGTGCGTGTATGGTTGTACACTTTAGTTGTGTGTCAGTGGCATCACTGGTAGTGATGACTTACGGATCAGAGACGTGGTCCTTCAATGCTGGCCGTATGAGGACGCTCAAGGTTGCTCAGCGAGCTATGGAGAGGGCTATGCTTGGAGTTTCTCTGCGTGATAGGCTCAGAAATGAGGATATTCGCAGTAAAACCAGAGTGACCGACATAGCCCAACGGATTAGTAAGCTGAAGTGGCAATGTGCCGGCCATATAGCTCGAAGAACCGATAACCGATGGGGAAGAAAGGTTCTCGAGTGGCAGCCTCGTACCGGTAGGCGTAGTGTAGGGCGACCCCCCACTAGATGGAGTGACGACCTGGTAAGACGTGCAGGAAGTCGATGGATGCAGGTGGCTCAGGACCGTGCTTTGTGGCGTTACTTGGGGGAGGCCTATGTTCAGCAGTGGACTTGTGAAGGGCTGTAATGATGAAGTTCTTTAGACAAAAATAAAAATAAAACCATCAAAAACGAAACGTATAGATAAACTAGACGCGTGACGCCAAAATCCCGGCGCATGGGAAAAAAGAAACATGAAACGTCAAACGTGATATAATTTTTTAAAAATAGTGTAATTTTATGTTGCATGTACAATATTTCTGAGGGTCTGAATCCAACCCTGGCCTAATATTGGTATCGTAACTAAACTAACTGTAAAATAAAACTTTAAAAATGCGTTTATATAATAATTTAATTGTAACAAAATTAATATAAAGTTATTAACCGATGATACGATATCCCATGTTCCTTTTTAATCTTTGTATCGTAATTTTTGCGTCCTTTTACTACGCAACCAGACATATTTATGACAGGCAAATCTGTCCTGCGCGCGAACCACTGTCGACCGATTCGCGTTGGCCCTAAACTGTTATTTTAGGGCCAGCACACTGGTCCGTTTTAGTTCTCGGTCGGCCCGGTATTTACGCTAGTAATATTTAAGTCAATGGGGCTAAGTAAGAAAATGTTATATTTACCTTATTATTATATTTAATCGTGAATATGAGACGTGAATTATATCCAAATTGGTTAACGTTCTTTGGTTTTAGTTGTAATTTTATCCTAAAACATAGATCCAAATTTATCCACGGCTTACAGATTAAACAACTGTAGTTATTATAGTATGTTTATATATACAATATTTACAGCTGGCTTTTCATAACATATTATTCGAAATAAATAAATAAATAAATATCGGTTTTTTAAGCCTTAATTAAAAAATATTGAATTTACTCTGCTATTTAAATACAAAACTTCCGCAAAAAATATCTAAATAACAGTGAAAATCGTATTAAAATCCGTAGCGTAGTTGCTTGGTTTAGAAGAAGATAGTAAAGTAATAGTAAAGTTGTTTTAAAAAATCAAAAATTAGGTATTGATTTATTTTATTATCAGAGTATTTATAGTCAGTCTCGAGTATATATAAGGTTCTATAAAAACTGTAACGTGCTACTTCCCCTTTTTACGGGTTGAATAAAGCCTTTCTTAGTAGACGTAGGCACGTCATAAACGGCAGCTACTGTCAAAATTTTGAATTTCTACTTTTAGGCTTTTGAACAGTGCGTCATAATACCAAAAAATTCATACAAACTGCATCCTCATTTAAGACCTAAGGATAGGTTTTTGAAGAACTTGAAAATGAGAATTTTATTATTTTTAAGTCCAGAGTGTATTTGTTACCTAATAGACCAAGTGATTTATTGGGATTTTATAGGCGTCTGATAAAACATTCCACCCATCTTGCAATGTCAGTGACAGCTGGGCCCAAGAGCCACCCAAGCCGCACCTTAACCTAAAGCCACGTACATTGTAGTGAAATAATCATTCACCATAAATAAATTAAAATGAACTTGTGAAGTTCGCCAACACGCATTGGGGCAGCGCGCCGGACGCTTCCTTGCCCTGAAACTCTCAGAAATGAGCGGAGGGCTGTGCCTAGCAGTGGGGACGTATATATATGCTGTAACCTTTAACTTGAAATTAAAATGTAGAAAATGTACATTTTAATTTAAAAAATTATGCAATATTGTAAAAAGATAGACTAGGTTTTTTTTGATGTCACATATTTAATATTTAAACACTGGGAATATAAATTTCAATCATAGGTATTTTTCCTTAGTAACACAAAGTACACACACAAAAAAGTACTAAAATTTTTAGACTTGTTAATTTCAGATTTAGTGCACTATTATCTTATTTAATAGAATTTTTTAAAAGTTGTTAACTTATTGTCTTGAAAGTGATTAATATGGTTGGGTTTAGTTAGGTTAGATTATATCAAATTACCCAAACAGTTATACAATATTTATAACGACCATGCAATGTGATAAATTACAGTGTTATATTAGGTGTTAGGACATTGTTTGCTCGATAACATTCAAGCGGTTAGACCCCGGACATATGTCTAATTGAGGGTTGCATTTGTTATAAATTACTCTTAAAAGTCGCAACATGGGGTCTGAAATATTCCCAAAGCCTGCCTATGAATTCTACCTGGACTATGAATTCCCTTGTTACACTGTCAATGCTTCTCCTCGTTGCTCTAGCATGAGATTGGATTCACCCTTAGGCCGGTCACAGACATACGGAATTCGATATTCCGTTTCGGAATTCCGTATGTAGTATGTGGCGAGCCTTGGAGTATATATAAGCAAGCTATTTATACTTTAAGGATTCACCGTACTTTCCGCCATCAGTCGATAACCACTCGCCAGCGACTTGTTCATTAGAGTGGGGTAAAAATGTCGTATATTCGCCCTTATGTACTAATTTGGTATTAAAGTGTAATAATTCATATATGAGGTTAATAAAATCGGTGTGAAATTGGGTGACTTAAAAGTTAATTGTCTGCTGTATGCTGATGATGCAGTGCTTATTGCACCATCAGAAGCAGAACTGCAGGCATTAGTCACGTGTATGAAAGAGGAATGTGAAATTAAAGGTCTCCGTTTGAATGCTAATAAAACTAAGGTTTTGGTATTTGAAAAGGACGAAGAGAGAACGAAATGTGAAATATGGGTAAATCAGGAATGTCTAGAACAGGTAAATGAAATTGTATTCTTGGGGAGTGCTTTCAGCCGGGATGGAAGATGTGATTTAGATGTGGATAGGCGTGTCGCTGCCGGAAACAAAGTCAATGGTGCCCTGAATGCATTAGTAAAAAGGCAAGGCGTGGTGAAGAGTGCACGCCTTGCAATACATAATGCAGTGTTGGTACCGACTTTGTTATATGGCAGCGAAACCTGGGTATGCCAGAAGAAGCATAAAAGCAAGTTGAATGCAGTGGAGATTCGATCTCTTCGTAAAATGTGTGGCGTTACCTTAGCCGACCGAAAGCGAAACGAAGAGATTCGCAATATGGCAGGATTGAAAGATGACCTTATCACAAAAATTGATAGGGGCGTACTCCAATGGTTTGGGCACGTTGAACGAATGAGTGAAGACCGAATGGTGAAGAAAATATATAGAGCGAAAGTAAATATTAAAAGGTGTCGAGGTAGACCGAGACTAATTTTCGAAGACCATGTGAGCAAATTGCTCGAAGAGGGGAGGGTCAAGAGTACTCGGATACATAGACGTGCATGTATGAAGAAGTTAATGAACCTGAAAGAAGCGAAAGAGGTATGTAAGGATCGTGACACTTGGCGATCTGTTCTCTCTGGCTACCCCGTTAGGGATTGTGCGTGAAGAATAGAGTAAGTAAGGTTAATAAATAGTTAATTTCTTTATGGTATTTATGAAATAATGATGAATTTAATGCATTGATAACAATTTAGAGTTGTATCGGAAGATGTGGTTGCCCTAAAACTCCGCACCATTAAATATAAATTTGATCATTTATGAATGTATTTTTTCATATGTAGCGGTAACCGCGGCGGTCACAATGCCGGGTGGAGGTGCACCCCCGCCTGGAACACCCTCGTCAAAACCAAAGGTGAGAACTGCTATTACACATTGTTTATTAAAAAAATTTTAAACGTTATTTATATTATTATGGGCCGATTTTTAAATCATGAGATAAAAGGTCTTCATATGATAATATACAACAACATATTACACTATTATGAGTAAATAAATAGTTCGAACTTGGACATCCATGTGATCGAAGTATTGATTATTTTATTACACAACAAGAACGCATGAGTACATGATAAATCAGTTAACACGTGCCGCGTGCCCATCGGTGGATAGTAGCAAGAGATATATCACGAGGAATTCATATTTAATGAAATTATAAATAGTTTTTCTCGCTTTTAACTTTATCGACTGTATTATGTTTATGTATCAACTTTAAGGCAAATGCTCTAACCCCGAGTTACAACGTTTCTGTTACACAATTCGGTGTTCGCTTACAAGTTAGTTGTACTTTATATGTGTATCAATATTGCCTTTCACGTTAAGAAATAACATTACAATTTTAAGAATAACAAGTGATAAAATAAAAAGTTTTTACAACCGACTTGAATATAGGATAAAATAAGAACATCATCAATGTATTCGAAGTCAATTAATTACGCAACTCAAAAACTAGTGGTCAGATCTTGATCAAATTTATATCGGACCACACGAGAAGCATAAGCTTTTAAATAAAAAAAGAATCATCAAATGGGTTCACCTAGAAATAATTCACACACATAAAAAACAAACAGTCGAATTGAGTACCTACTTCTTTTTGAACTCGGTTAAAAAAGAAACACCTTCACCACTAGTTCTCTCAGCTTGAAATCATATATTTATGTATTAAAATACAATCCAATTTTGGATTCAAATTTAATTTGTTTCCTTTGTTGTCGAACGGGGAAGAAATACGCTCTCACAGAATACCAGCATAAATAGCAGCTCAATGCTATAGTGTTTTGTATGGTGAGTGTAGAGAACCGGAGACCTTTTTACTGGAAATCAGGGATTCCAACTTTTAATGCGCATAAAACAGTTTGCAAGTATACTTAAACAGAGATTAAAAATAATGGAAAAGGAAAGTTTGTCTTTTTAAAAGTCTTTAATATCAGGAAACTTTCCTTTTATCATATAAAAGTAGCAAAATTACTACAGAATTTTTTATGTATTTATTTTTAACACATTTAAACTTTATTGTTTCCTCTATGTTATATTACATATTTATGTACATATACACATAATAGGTATAACAAATGTACAATAAAATATCACCATGGATATCCATACTGATATTTTATCGTAATGTGACCTAATTAGTTTTATCCAATTTTCAGGAGAAGCAGAAAAGTAAAGTTGTGGTAGCATTGTATCCATTTAAAGCTATCGAAAGCGGGGACCTTTCACTTGAAAAGGTATGTTTAAATAAGAACGTTATTATTTTGTAGCAGATATGTAAATTGTTTTTATTGCAATTGCTATTGAAAGCTATTACGTTTTAGGGAGCCGAGTACGAAGTGGTCGATGATTCACAAGAACATTGGTGGAAAGTCAAAGACGAAAACGGGTTCGTATAGCACTTTTTAAATGTTTTTTCCCCCCGGTAATTACATCCTTGAAACGTGTTCTGCTTTTAATTTGCAAGAGCTACTTTGGAGTCGAGTACTTATTTTGTTTATATTTACCTTAATTTTCTGTTTTATATTTACCTTAATTTTCAATATGGCATATCTTGTTGGCAACTTTATTACTGGCAAAACCGTTCCGCCCCTCTTCGTGCGCAACCTAAGAGAAGTGGGAAGGGAAATGTTATAAAATAGGGTGCATCGCGATTATAAGAGGTTCTGTTCTGATAACACGCGTCGAGTTAGTATCAGTGTAATTAAGTGTTGTGAATATAAAAAAGTGTAATATTAAGTGATCTGTACAAATACTAATTGAATAAATAGATTGTGTCGTCAGTACATAATGGGTGCGTTTGGCAGAAAAAAGCGCTAGCAAGCGCTTGTAAGCAAAATCGCGATCGTAAGCGGTAAGCGCTGTCAAATCGTAAGTAGCTATTTTCCTCCAGGACACGATGTTAGTTTTAACCGGGGTATCTAACCTAATTTAAATATATGTTTGTAAAGTATTCATATTAAAAACTTACCAATCATGAGTTTTTAATAGCATGTATATGTTTATTCATGTCATTATATTACTTAAAACTAATATTGCACAAAACAACTTATAAACTCTACTTCAAAACAAACAAATTAAATAAGCAAAATGGCGGATTGTGTCAGCGCTACTGAAGTAGCAATCGTGTCCTGGCCGAAAACTATTTTAGCGCTTATAAGCGCTTGCTAGCGCTTTTTTCTGCCAAACGCACCCATTATTTACGTTGAAATTCTTTCTTTGTGTTAACAATCTTTTAAAGTACAGTCTCATTAGAATATATGAATACCGTTACAAATGTGATATTAATAT